TGCAATAAGCTAACCCTTTACTATGGATCCGAGTTCATATGTTGGTGGCTTACCTGTAATCTAACAGGTGGCTTACCTATAATCTATCAGACTGTTAACCTGTAACCTAAAAGACTGCTTACCTGTAACCTAACAGGAGGCTCTCCTGTAATCTAACAGGAGGCTCACCTGTAACCTAACAGACAGCTTACCTGTAATCTAACAGACTGCTTACCTGTAACTTAACTGGAGGCTCTCCTGTAATCTAACAGGAGGCTCACCTGTAACCTAACAAACAGCTTACCTGTAATCTAACAGACTGCTTACCTGTAACCTAACAGGAGGCTCTCCTGTAATCTAACAGGAGGCTCACCTGTAACCTAACAAACAGCTTACCTGTAATCTAACAGACTGCTTACCTGTAACCTAACAGGAGGCTCTCCTGTAATCTAACAGGTGGCTTACCTGTAATCTAACAGACTGCTTACCTGTAACCTAACAGGAGGCTCTCCTGTAATCTAACAGGTGGCTTACCTGTAATCTAACAGACTGCTTACCTGTAACCTAACAGGAGGATCTCCTGTAATCTAACAGGCGGCTTACCTGTAATCTAACAGACGGCTTACCTGTAATCTAACAGGTGGCTTACATGTAATCTATCAGGTGGCATACCTGTGCTCTAACAGGCGGCTCACCTGTAATCTAACAGTTGGCATACCTGTAATCTAAGAGGCAGCTCACCTGTAATCTAACAGGTGGCTTACCTGTAATCTAACAGACTGCTTAACTGTAACCTAACAGGAGGCTCTCCTGTAATCTAACAGGTGGCTAACCTGTAATCTAACAGGCGGCTCACCTGTAACCTAACAGGAGGCTCTCCTGTAATCTAACAGGCGGCTTACCTGTAATCTAACAGGTGGCTTACCTGCAATCTAACAGGTGGCTTACCTGTAACCTATCAGGTGGCATACCTGTAACCCAACAGGAGGCTTACCTGTAATCCAACAGGAGGCTTACCTGTAATCTAACAGACAGCTCACCTGTAATCTAACAGGTGGCTTGACTGTAATCTAACAGGTGGCATACCTGTTACCTAACAGACGGCTCACCTGTTATCTAACAGGCGGCTCACCTGTAACCTAACAGGCTGCTTACCTATAACCTAACAGACGGCTTACCTCTAATCTAACAGATGGCTTACCTGTAATCTAACAGATGGCTTACCTGTAACCTTACGGGCATGTCCAAGTCATCTGCATTTTCTTCGGATCCCTCCTCTTCTTTCTACAACAGACATTATAATCACCAATACAGAGATAATTCTCCTCTACAACACAGACATTATAATCACCACTACAGAGATAATTCTCCTCTACAACACAGACATTATAATCACCACTACAGAGATAATTCTCCTCTACAACACAGACATTATAATCACCACTACAGAGATAATTCTCCTCTACAACACAGACATTATAATCACCACTACAGAGATAATTCTCCTCTACAACACAGACATTATAATCACCACTACAGAGATAATTCTCCTCTACAACACAGACATTATAATCACCACTACAGAGATAATTCTCCTCTACAACACAGACATTATAATCACCACTACACAGATAATTCTCCTCTACAACACAGACATTATAATCACCACTACACAGATAATTCAGAGATAATTCTCCTCTACAACACAGACATTATAATCACCACTACAGAGATAATTCTCTGATAGGAGTTTAGTTTATTGTTGGTTTAAGTCCTATTAACAGCCCAGTAATTTCAGGATGTGCCAGGATTCAGTTGTGGAGGAAAGCGGGAAAGAAACAACAACTTGCAGTTCGTACTGCGTCCCAGAGGTGGCAAGCTTGTGATAAAGAGGTTCAGAGGCCACAGTGGCTTTAACCGCTTGGTGTGACGGCTACTGGGAGATAATAATGAATTTGCAGGACCATTCCACAGTAGTATAATCTGATGTACACTCAGGTAGAAAGTCATGTGACAAAATAACATAGAAGAGAAAACCGATTGAAATGTTGAGCTTGTGTTTCATTGTTATAAAACATACCTCCATTAATTTTTTAGCTGCTTCCAATGCATCGTCTAGCGTTTGCTCCAGTATCGCACCAAACACACGAGCAAAAACCCTCTTCATTACATCAGTGCTGTCACAAAAAACAAAGAAATAAGCATGTTGACAAGATGGCTTCCACTGCTCATCAGCAGTCACTGCAAAAGTATATCATATGTAACAGTATTATAAATATTAACACATTTCCCCATTATAATGTTATTGAAGTGCAATCTCAAAAAAGAGATTTTCTAGAACCAATTGTAATTAAAATTTGTCTATATTTTCACTTGGGTTTACCTTTCTAGTTCAAGGTCACACTCTTTCAATACCCAAACATTCTGACCACCATCCCCATATCTAAACTGTTCCCCGGGAGACCAGGCCCTTTGTATACCTGAACATGTTCCCCAGTGAGACCAAGCCCTTTGTATACCAAAACATGTTCCCCAGTGAGACCAAGCCCTTTGTATACCAAAACATGTTCCCCAGTAAGACCAAGCCCTCTGTATACCAAAACATGTTCCCCAGTGAGACCAGGCCCTTTGTTTACCAAAACATGTTCCCCAGTAAGACCAAGCCCTCTGTATACCAAAACATGTTCCCCAGTAAGACCAAGCCCTCTGTATACCAAAACATGTTCCCCAGTGAGACCAGGCCCTTTGTTTACCAAAACATGTTCCCCAGTGAGACAAGGCCCTTTGTATACCAAAACATGTTCCCCAGTGAGACCAGGCCCTTTGTATACCAAAACATGTTCCCCAGTGAGACCAGGCCCTTTGTATACCAAAACACGTTCCCCAGTGAGACCAGGCCCTTTGTTACCAAAACATGTTCCCCAGTGAGACCAGGCCCTTTGTATACCAAAACACGTTCCCCAGTGAGACCAGGTCCTTTGTTACCAAAACATGTTCCCCAGTGAGACCAGGCCCTTTGTTACCAAAACATGTTCCCCAGTGAGACCAGGCCCTTTGTATACCAAAACATGTTCCCCAGTAAGACCAGGCCCTTTGTATACCAAAACATGTTCCCCAGTAAGACCAGGCCCTTTGTATACCAAAACATGTTCCCCAGAGAGACAAGGGCCAGAGCCTTTGTTACCAAAACATGTTCCCCAGTGAGACCAAGTCCTTTGTATACCAAAACATGTTCCCCAATGAGACCAGGCCCTTTGTATACCAAAACATGTTCCCCAGTGAGACAAGGCCCTTTGTATACCAAAAAATGTTCCCCAGTGAGACCAGGCCCTTTGTATACCAAAAATATGTTCCCCAGTGAGACCAAGTCCTTTGTATACCAAAACATGTTCCCCAGTGAGACCAGGCCCTTTGTATATCAAAACATGTTCCCCAGTGAGACCAGGGCCTTTGTTACCAAAACATGTTCCCCAGTGAGACCAGAGCCTTTGTTACCAAAACATGTTCCCGAGAGAGACCAGAGCCTTTGTTACCAAAACATGTTCCCCAGTGAGACCAGAGCCTTTGTTACCAAAACATGTTCCCCAGTGAGACCAGAGCCTTTGTTACCAAAACATGTTCCCCAGTGAGACCAGAGCCTTTGTTACCAAAACATGTTCCCCAGTGAGACCAGAGCCTTTGTTACCAAAACATGTTCCCCAGTGAGACCAGGCCCTTTGTATACCAAAACATGTTCCCCAGTGAGACCAGAGCCTTTGTTACCAAAACATGTTCCCCAGTGAGACCAGGCCCTTTGTATACCAAAACATGTTCCCCAGTGAGACCAGAGCCTTTGTTACCAAAACATGTTCCCCAGTGAGACCAGAGCTTTGTTACCAAAACATGTTCCCCAGTGAGACTAGATCCTTTGTTACCAAAACATGTTCCCCAGTGAGACCAGAGCCTTTGTTACCAAAACATGTTCCCCAGTGAGACCAGAGCCTTTGTTACCAAAACATGTTCCCCAGTGAGACCAGAGCCTTTGTTACCAAAACATGTTCCCCAGTGAGACCAGAGCCTTTGTTACCAAAACATGTTCCCCAGTGAGACCAGAGCCTTTGTTACCAAAACATGTTCCCCAGTGAGACCAGAGCCTTTGTTACCAAAACATGTTCCCCAGTGAGACCAGAGCCTTTGTTACCAAAACATGTTCCCCAGTGAGACCAGAGCCTTTGTTACCAAAACATGTTCCCCAGTGAGACTAGATCCTTTGTATACCAAAACATGTTCCCCAGTGAGACTAGATCCTTTGTCTATCTAAACATAATGGAAATGAGAATGATTTACAACTTACTTGACAGCACCTGGTAGATACTGGAAGATAGGCTCTAGGAAAGTCAGAACTTGTTCAGCTGTCAACTGTAATATGATTTAATGTTAGTAATGCTAATTGTACATTTCTGCTTTAAATACATGTATCAGTTAAATAAAATTATTTCCAGTTTTCATTTATAAATAATTGATCCTCTCTATTTCAAACTCGTATAACTTGAAGAACCTCTTAATTTAAAGTAAATGAGGCATGAACTTTTCACTTCCTGGGTATAGAACACAAGAAGTGTATAAGGCCTGTATCACTCACCTAGTTGAAGTTTGTCAAATAATTATTTATTTCATCGTAGGGAAAAGTCTTTAAAATGCTTGTATCTATTTCCCCCTAATAGACTCGCCCCTCCTCCAAATGGAGATACACTGTTAGAAACAAAATTCCCTTCACCAAGGATGTGTTCAATTCTAACATATAGAAGATTTTAAAGATTTTTTTTCTATTTCCACTAACTGGTCTCATCCCACCCACCCAGCATGGCCAAGTAGGCTAGAACCCATTGTTCATAACAAATTGATCCTGTTCACCAAAGCATGCTTCAGGCTAAACTGGGATAACATCCTGGTAATTCTACGAAAGAAGGATTTTACAGAATTTGCTCTATTTTCCCTAGAGGGAAGAAAACAAAAGCTTATTCAAAACTGACTCCATTTCATCAAAGGATGCTTCAGATCAAATATGGGCAAAATGCAATCACTGCTACCTGAGGGGCAGGATTTTAAGGAATTAGCTCTACTTCCTCATTGGACCAAACTCCTCTGGCCCCAAGGGGCCAATATCCACCATTTATACAAACTGATTTCCCTTGACCCAAGCATAAATTTGGACAGTATATCCTGCAATTTTTAAAGAACAAGAAAAATTTTAAAGAAATGGATTGATTTTCCCTTCTGGGCCCCGTCCTTCAGACCCACCATTTATACAAAATTGGTTCCCTTTCCCCAGCTATGCTTCTGACCAAATTTCAAATCTGCCCAGTCGTTAATGACTAGATGTGACGGATGAAGGATGCCACAGTAATTCTATAGCTCACTTGGCCCTCCAGGTGAAGGTAATGTACCTGTTCAGCACCAATTTTCTCTAATTCTGACAGGTAAATGTCTGCTAGGTGAATGCGCAGGCCTTGAGGTATGGCTTCATTGTCAGGACTCATCACGTTACAACTCAAAATATTGGTGAACTCCGTCAGAATATTTGTCTGCCAATTCATGTTTTTAAGGAACAGGAGTGTTTGATGTAACATTCTTCTGACAAGCTGCATGGTAAAAAAAAACAGACAAAAAATTAAAGAAACATCAATACCACCAGTACAAGGAAGGCATTTATTGGTGTATAACTGTCATACCATTAGGGACAGACTACATCAGATCTGTACAATACCACCAGTACAAGGAAGGCAGTTATTGGTGTATAACTGACATAACATTAGGGACAGACATTACCACCAGTACAAGGAAGGCAGTTATTGGTGTATAACTGTCATAACATTTGGGACAGAATACATCAGATCCGCACAATACCACCAGTACAAGGAAGGCAGTTATTGGTGTATAACTGTGATAACTTTTTTGACAGTATTGATTATATGATTACAATACCACCAGTACAAGGAAGGCATTTATTGGTGTATAACTGTCATACCATTAGGGACAGAATACATCAGATCCGTACAATACCACCAGTACAAGGAAGGCATTTATTGGTGTATAACTGTCATACCATTAGGGACAGAATACATTAGATCTGTACAATACCACCAGTACAAGGAAGGCATTTATTGGTGTATAACTGTCATACCATTAGGGACAGAATACATCAGATCTGTACAGTACCACCAGTACAAGGAAGGCAGTTATTGGTGTATAACTGTCATAACATTAGGGACAGAATACATCAGATCTGTACAATACCACCAGTACAAGGAAGGCAGTTATTGGTGTATAACTGTCATAACATTAGGGACAGAATACATTAGATCTGTACAATACCACCAGTACAAGGAAGGCAGTTATTGGTGTATAACTGTCATACCATTAGGGACAGAATACATCAGATCCGTACAATACCACCAGTACAAGGAAGGCAGTTATTGGTGTATAACTGACATAACATTAGGGACAGAATACATCAGATCCGTACAATACCACCAGTACAAGGAAGGCAGTTATTGGTGTATAACTGTCATAACATTAGGGACAGAATACATCAGATCCGTACAATACCACCAGTACAAGGAAGGCAGTTATTGGTGTATAACTGTCATACCATTAGGGACAGAATACATTAGATCTGTACAATCCACCAGTACACGGAAGGCATTTATTGGTGTATAACTGTCATACCATTAGGGACAGAATACATCAGATCTGTACAGTACCACCAGTACAAGGAAGGCAGTTATTGGTGTATAACTGTCATAACATTAGGGACAGAATACATTAGATCTGTACAATACCACCAGATTATTGGTGTATAACTGTACAATACCACCAGTACAAGGAAGGCAGTTATTGGTGTATAACTGTCATACCATTAGGGACAGAATACATCAGATCTGTACAATACCACCAGTACAAGGAAGGCAGTTATTGGTGTATAACTGTCATAACATTAGGGACAGAATACATTAGATCCGTACAATACCACCAGTACAAGGAAGGCAGTTATTGGTGTATAACTGTCATAACATTAGGGACAGAATACATCAGATCTGTACAATACCACCAGTACAAGGAAGGCAGTTATTGGTGTATAACTGTCATACCATTAGGGACAGAATACATCAGATCTGTACAATACCACCAGTACAAGGAAGGCAGTTATTGGTGGTGTATAACTGTCTGTCATAACATTTGGGACAGAATACATCAGATCTGTACAATACCACCAGTACAAGGAAGGCAGTTATTGGTGTATAACTGTCATACCATTACATCAGATCTGGACAGAATACATAACATTTGATCTGATACAATACCACCAGTACAAGGAAGGCAGTTATTGGTGTATAACTGTTTCTTACAATACTAATGAAATTGTATTATATTTAATCACTGCTAAATATGTTCAATCAAACTTACTGTCATAAACTTGTCCACGCGCCATTTATCCAACACATCCCATTCACGTGCCTCTGTTAGGAAGAAAACCTTGACAAACAGTAGAGAACTTTCAACTGAGCCAAATACGTGTATCATCTGTGTGATCCGTTCAGTAAGCTCTTCCTTTACAAATGAAAGGAAACAGGTGACATTATCAAACATAACAATAAAATCATTACAGCCCTACAATTTGGTACAAGTCTAGTGATTTGGCACTAAATCTGTAATTGATTACTCATATGGTTATGAATTAAAAATCAGAATACAGATGCTTTCAAAGGTTGCTAACAGATTGAGTAAAATGGCTGATTCAACGGTTGCTAACAGATCGCATAAAACAGCTGATTCAATGGTTGCTAACAGACTGAGTGAAACAGCTGATTCAATGGTTGCTAACAGACTGAGTGAAATGGCTGATTCAAAGGTTGCTAACAGATGGAGTAAAAGGGCTGATTCAAAGGTTGCTAACAGATTGAGTGAAACGGCTGATTCAAAGGTTGCTGACAGATCAAGTGAAATGGCTGATTCAACGGTTGAACATTTAGGACCAGGAAAATGAAACCAAGTGTTGGCTGATAAAAATAAGCTATAGAGGAAACAGTGGATGTAAACCCTACTTCCCTGTAGTAAACCCTGCTTCCCTGTAGTAAACCCTACTTCTCTGTAGTAGACCCTACTTACCTGTAGTAAACCCTACTTCCCTGTAGTAAACCCTACTTACCTGTAGTAAACCCTACTTCCCTGTAGTAAACCCTACTTCTCTGTAGTAGACCCTACTTACCTGCAGTAAACCCTACTTCCCTGTAGTAAACCCTACTTCTCTGTAGTAAACCGTACTTCCCTGTAGTAAACCCTGCTTCCCTGTAGTAAACCCTACTTCCCTGTAGTAAACCCTACTTACCTGTAGTAAACCCTGCTTCCCTGTAGTAAACCCTACTTCCCTGTAGTAAACCCTACTTCCCTGTAGTAAACCCTACTTCCCTGTAGTAAACCCTACTTCTCTGTAGTAAACTCTACTTCCCTGTAGTAAACCCTGCTTCCCTGTAGTAAACCCTACTTCCCTGTAGTAAACCCTACTTCCCTGTAGTAAACCCTACTTCCCTGTAGTAAACCCTACTTACCTGTAGTAAACCCTGCTTCCCTGTAGTAAACCCTGCTTCCCTGTAGTAAACCCTGCTTCCCTGTAGTAAACCCAACTTCTCTGTAGTAAACCCTACTTACCTGTAGTAAACCCTACTTCTCTGTAGTAAACCCTACTTCTCTGTAGTAAACCCTACTTACCTGTAGTAAACCCTACTTCTCTGTAGTAAACCCTACTTCTCTGTAGTAAACCCTACTTCCCTGTAGTAAACCCTACTTCCCTGTAGTAAACCCTGCTTCCCTGTAGTAGACCCTGCTTCTCTGTAGTAAACCCTACTTCTCTGTAGTAAACCCTACTTACCTGTAGTAAACCCTACTTCCCTGTAGTAAACCCTACTTCCCTGTAGTAAACCCTACTTCTCTGTAGTTAACCCTACTTACCTGTAGTTAACCCTACTTACCTGTAGTAAACCCTACTTCTCTGTAGTAAACCCTACTTCTCTGTAGTAAACCCTACTTCCCTGTAGTAAACCCTACTTCCCTGTAGTAAACCCTACTTCTCTGTAGTAAACCCTACTTCCCTGTAGTAAACCCTACTTACCTGTAGTAAACCCTGCTTCCCTGTAGTAAACCCTACTTCCCTGTAGTAAACCCTGCTTCCCTGTAGTAAACCCTACTTCCCTGTAGTAAACCCTACTAAACCCTACTTACCTGTAGTAAACCCTGCTTCCCTGTAGTAAACCCTGCTTCCCTGTAGTAAACCCAACTTCTCTGTAGTAAACCCTACTTACCTGTAGTAAACCCAACTTCTCTGTAGTAAACCCTGCTTCCCTGTAGTAAACCCAACTTCTCTGTAGTAAACCCTACTTACCTGTAGTAAACCCTTCGTACCTGTAGTAAACCCTACTTTCCTGCAGTAAACCCTACTTACCTGCAGTAAACTCTACTTCCCTGTAGTAAACCCTACTTCCCTGTAGTAAACCCAACTTCTCTGTAGTAAACCCTACTTACCTGTAGTAAACCCTACTTCCCTGTAGTAAACCCTACGTACCTGTAGTAAACCCTACTTCTCTGTAGTAAACCCTACTTCTCTGTAGTAAACCCTACTTACCTGTAGTAAACCCTACTTCTCTGTAGTAAACCTTACTTAACCCTACTTACCTGTAGTTAACCCTACTTCTCTGTAGTAAACCCTACTTCCCTGTAGTAAACCCTACTTCGCTGTAGTAAAGCCTACTTACCTGTAGTAAACCCTACTTCCCTGTAGTAAACCCTACTTCCCTGTAGTAAACCCTACTTCCCTGTAGTAAACCCTACTTCCCTGTAGTAAACCCTACTTCCCTGTAGTAAACCCTACTTACCTGTAGTAAACCCTACTTCTCTGTAGTAAACCTTACTTAACCCTACTTACCTGTAGTTAACCCTACTTCTCTGTAGTAAACCCTACTTCCCTGTAGTAAACCCTAAACCCTACTTCCCTGTAGTAAACCCTACTTCCCTGTAGTAAACCCTACTTACCTGTAGTAAACCCTACTTCCTGTAGTAAACCCTAAACCCTACTTCCCTGTAGTAAACCCTAAACCCTACTTCTCTGTAGTAAACCCTACTTCCCTGTAGTAAACCCTACTTCCCTGTAGTAAACCCTACTTCCCTGTAGTAAACCCTACTTACCTGTAGTAAACCCTACTTCCCTGTAGTAAAGGTTTATAATGAAAACCCTACTTCCCTGTAGTAAAGGTTTATAATGAAAACCCTACTTCCCTGTAGTAAAGGTTTATAATGAAAACCCTACTTCCCTGTAGTAAAGGTTTATAATGTAAACCCTACTTACCTGTAGTAAAGGTTTATAATGTAAACCCTACTTACCTGTAGTAAAGGTTTATAATGTAAACCCTACTTACCTGTAGTAAAGGTTTATAATGTAAACCCTACTTACCTGTAGTAAAGGTTTATCCTGCATCCATAAACAATAGTGAAGACCTTTCCATATCTTAATAAAGTCACTTTCACTGAAGGCATCTGAATAAGAATAAACACTGTAAGGAACACAAAGAGAAACACACAGAGTGAGGAACAAATAGAGAGGAACACAAAGTGAACACAAAGTGAGGAACACACAATGAGGAACACACAGAGAGGAACACACAGTGAGGAACACACAGAGAGGAAACACAATGAGGAACACACAGTGAGGAACACACAGACAGGAACACACATAGAGGAACAAAGAGAGGTACACAAAGATAGGAACACACAGGGAGGAACACACATTGAGGAACACAGAGAGGAACACACATAGAGGAACACAGAGAGGTACACAAAGATAGGAACACACAGGGAGGAACACATAATGAGGAACACAGTGAGGAACACACAGTGAGGAACACACAGTGAGGAACACACAGAGTGAGGAACACAGAGATGAACACAGAGTGAGGAACACACAATGAGGAACACATAGTGAGGAACACAGAGAGGTACACAAAGATAGGAACACACAGAGTGAGGAACACACAATGAGGAACATATAGTGAGGAACACAGAGAGGAACACAGAGTGAGGATCACACAGAGAGGAACACAGAGTGAGGAACACATAGAGAGGAACACAGAGAGGTACACAAAGATAGGAACACAAAGAGAGGTACACACATCGAGGAACAGAGAGTGAGGAACACAGAGAGAGGAACACAGAGAGGCACACAGAGTGAGGAACAATGATATTTAGACACAATAATTGTAGCACAGATAAGATCAAACTGATGGCTTACATGTATTAGTTTAAATGCAATATAAATAGCACACAAAAGTCAGGTCAAATTGACTATATAATGTACAAGTGTGTAAGATTTGTCTCCCTTGAGAAAATCTTGCTTGTATGGTGTGTGTATACAGCACACCACAGACAGGTAGAGATTAATCAAACATTTTTATATAACTGATGATGTGAATGAACAAATAGAATCAATGAGCCGTTGTGTATATTATATTTATCTCAGACTAAAAGGGTTTACAATGACAAGATAGGCTTGTGATACAGGTTTAAACTGAAGCGACCTCACAGTTCTTCTGCATCACTCTGTACATTCCTTGTACAGTTTTACATGTACTAGTCAACATTACTGGTGCCTATTGCAGTTGTGTATGCTCTCTGAAAAAACACCACACACAAATGGGTGGGGGTAAATTTGTGTCAATAGCTTAATTAAATCTTTGAACAAGTGGAAGGAAGTTTCCTTAAGATACTGCAGTTATTTCATTCTACTGTCTTTAGAATTATTACAGCGACGAGATCAAGCGAGGGTAAATCGAGACTGGGACTAATAGACTTAAGATTATTCATAAGGATGCACAGCAAGACCCTGATGATGTATTAGATTTAGTTAAGGGTAAAGTTATTGAAAAAGATAAGTTGTTTCTGATTAGCACTGTAATGAAGAGGTAAGAGACAAAAATGTAACAAATGATAGGACTTCAGATATTTAACAGACAGGTAAGCACAAAGGTCTTTAACATTAACAGCTTTAAAGGATAATAAAGAAATTCATGTTCCTTCTGCCAGGACGTTTTTAGGTTCCCAAGGAAGTAAGTATTAGTTCAGTTACATACAAAGGAGACAGTGACCATCTATAGGTTATTGCTGCAAAATTCTGTATTGGAATGGATGATACAATGGATAAGAGAACAACTGGTTCAACGTAGGCAATAGTCACGAAAACGACAATGACAAGCAGATATTATTCCAGCATCAGACAGTAAGTTAACAAAGTTAGGTTAATCAGTAGTAGTGTATTCCAACACAATATTAGCTTCATCAGTAATTGTAGCTCCTACACCTTTTTGTAATATTTCTGAGATCATCACCTAAAAAATGAAAAAACCTAGGTCTAGACTTTCCTTATTATGTAAAAGTTTATTGAATATTATAGAAGAAAAAGAATATTCACTGAAAGAGGTAAATAATACTTTCAATGCCAAAATGAAACAAGGTGATATTTTGCTGAATCTCTCTGATGATAGACTCTCTTTGTCAGCCTGCCGAAACCAAGTGTATCTCTATAGATAATGGTAAGTGTACGAAAGATTTTAAAGAAAAAAACGATATTTTATTATGTAGAAAACTTTGTGGAAATACTATGTGTTGTATACAAGATATGTCATTTTCCTAATATAGGTGAAATGCAAGATACAGGCTTTGTGCAGGCTTTGGTAAGTGGGATTATGCACTAACAAATGAAGAATGAGCTGCAGCAGCTTCAGCACCAATCCATCAGTAGGTAGACGACAGGGAATATACTTGATTGTTTGGTAGGGAATACAAAGAAATAGGGTCATTTGTCAGCTTCAGCACAAATCCATCTGTAGGTAGACGTACAAAGAAAAATCCATCTGGGTCATTTGTCAGCTTCAGCACAAATCCATCTGTAGGTAGACGACAGGGAATATACTTGATTGTTTGGTAGTGAATACAAAGAAATAGGGTCATTTGTCAGCTTCAGCACAAATCCATCTGTAGGTAGACGACAGGGAATATACTTGATTGTTTGGTAGGGAATACAAAGCAGTAGGGTCATTTGTCAGCTTCAGCACAAATCCATCTGTAGGTAGACGACAGGGAATATACTTGATTGTTTGGTAGGGAATACAAAGCAGTAGGGTCATTAGTCAGCTTCAGCACAAATCCATCTGTAGGTAGACGACAGGGAATATACTTGATTGTTTGGTAGGGAATACAAAGAAATAGGGTCATTAGTCAGCTTCAGCACAAATCCATCTGTAGGTAGACGACAGGGAATATACTTGATTGTTTGGTAGGGAATACAAAGAAATAGGGTCATTTGTCAGCTTCAGCATAAATCCATCTGTAGGTAGACGACAGGGAATATACTTGATTGTTTGGTAGGGAATACAAAGAAATAGGGTCATTTGTCAGCTTCAGCACAAATCCATCTGTAGGTAGACGACAGGGAATATACTTGATTGTTTGGTAGGGAATACAAAGCAGTAGGGTCATTAGTCAGCTTCAGCAAAAATCCATCTGTAGGTAGACGACAGGGAATATATGTGATTGTTTGGTAGGGAATACAAAGAAATAGGGTCATTAGTCAGCTTCAGCACAAATCCATCTGTAGGTAGACGACAGGGAATATACTTGATTGTTTGGTAGTGAATACAAAGAAATAGGGTCATTTGTCAGCTTCACAAATCCATCTGTAGGTAGACGACAGGGAATATACTTGATTGTTTGGTAGGGAATACAAAGCAGAAGGGTCATTTGTCAGCTTCTTTAACAAGAGATCCCAGAGGGATCTTGGCGCCCACCATTTGAAGATCTGTTTTCAGTTCTTGAAGATTTGTTTATTTATTTTTTGTTTGTTGCAGGTGTTGTAAATGTTCATGAACTGGTCTTCATTGAATGTACTCAATGATGGCACAAGATATTTTTATAAAGCACCTATTAGCAAATATCATTTGAAGAAGATCCCAAAGTATTATTAGATAGCAGTCAGTTACAGATGGATAATGGACATGGTCTTGAATCAATATGATAGAATATCGAAGAAAATATGCTTGTGCTGTATTACTGTCGACATCCAAGATGGCTGCCTGTGGGCCAACTTGATTTCAAATTAGTCAAAAAAAAGTAAAATGCACAACTAGGGACCAAGGGAAACCAATACCTATGAAACATCAGAAGTATCCATCCAGTACTTCCTCAGAAATAGCGGTAACAAACTTTTACTTCCAAAATCCAAGATGGCCGCCTGTCAGCCATCTTGAATTTGAATCAGTCCCAAAAAGGTACAATGCACAACTAGGGACCAAGGGGAACCTGTATATGAAATTTCAGAAAGATCCACCTAGTACTTTCCCAGAAATAGCGGTAACAAACTTTTACTTCCAAAATCCAAGATGGCCGCCTGTCAGCCATCTTGAATTTGAATCAGTCCAAAAAAGGTACAATGCACAACTAAGGACCAAGTGGAACCTGCATATGAAATTTCAGAAAGATCCATCCAGTACTTTCCCAGAAATAGCGGTAACAAGAATTGTTTACGAACGGACGGACGGACCACGGACGCAGGGCGATTTGAATACCCCACCATCTGATGATGGTGGGCTAAAAATGCAGGTATTGCATAAAATATGAAAGTATTAAAATCTATTTTTCCAAACAGCAGTAAACAAATTGGGTTGATTGTGTGGTTTTCGCTATCGCTTACTTGGTAGAATTTTGTTTAAATGGTTTTAATGGGAGACAAGAATTATATTTTGACATGGATTGTATGAGGCAACATCTTGCTGAATGTTTTTCAAAAGGTATTTTTACAAAAAGGCATGTTACATCTGGAAATAGACTGTTGATCAATGAAAGTTTCAGGTAGGGTAAAAACAGATTGAAACTGTGTGTTAAGCACTTGTGCTTTGCCAACAGGATTATGTATGAGTTTAACCCTCTTGTTTCAATGGAGAGATGCCACAGTGATCCAATCATTTGGCTTTTTGACCAGAAGCGTTTCATACCAGAGTATTGGTTATCAGAATGTGAGATATCAGGGTTTAATATATCATCAATATGTGTGTTTTATGTCTTTAAATTTTTATTTTAACAAGGAATCCACAGATTTTTTAGCTTTAACATCAAGCCTATCTCGTTTTCTTATGAACTTTTTTTATCTCAGGGGTAACTGATGGTAGATTAGTTTTGGACTTTATGGTTTTCTGTGGGATATGTTCCTGGACAGTTTTCATAAGTTCACTTTTAAGATATTCCCACATTGAATTTGCATCCCACTCATTATTTGTTAACACATAATTATAAATATCCCCCAAGTGTAATTTGATACAATTCCAATTAGCATTTTTGTGTAATGGGATTTTTCTTGGTTTTTTAATAAGTTTTATGGATGTGAGAGTAAATTTAACAAAGACGATGGTATGGTCAGATCTTCCAAGGATGATTTCAGTACGGGACACCTGATTAGGAGAATTTGTTATGACCATATCTAAGGTATTATCGTTTCGGGCCGGTTCTTCAATAACTTGTGTTAGACCAGTGTCGTCCAATAAATTTGAAAAGTCATAGTGGATTTTATGACAAGTTTTGGGTTTAAGAACATTTTTCTTCCAGTCCCAGCCTGGAAGATTTAAGTCTCCACCTATTATAAGGGTTGCATTTCTCAATTTACAGGCCTCGTTTACCAAATCAATGAATGATTTCATGCTATCTTCTTTAGAGATAAAATTAGCTGACGTAAAGAGTTTCACTCCCGACTATCTTAACCTTAGCCCATACCATTTCACATGAACTGGTGGGTGTAAGATCGTGTACCTCTTCACCAATAAGTTCTTCCTTTATTGCAATGAAAACACCTCCGCCATCTTTGCTGTTATCATACTTTTTACGATCGTTTCGAAAAATTTTGTAACACAAAGGAAATATTTCTGAGTTTTTGATATTTGGGTTGAGCCAAGTCTCTGTGCCAATGACTATGTCTGGCATGGAGCTATCTAGGATATTGTAGAGAAGATGTTGTTTATTTCGAATTGATTGGAAATTTATATTTAAAATTCTTAGTGATTTATTTTGTTGTTTTTTTTCAGTTCTCTTTTTAATACGAACAGGGATGGATGAATGGAGTGGTTTGTGATGGGGAACACCAACACTGGTGTTTGTACTACCCAAGTCGTCAATGCTAGATAGTGTATTAAAATGATTTGTACTTATGCCATGAACATCAAACAAAATATCATTATCTTACATAAAGAGTATCCCATTTCGAACATTTTTGACAACATTGTAACTTACGATGCTGGTTGTAAAAGGTGGTTTCATATTAGATGTGTTAGTGATGAGTCAAATGTAATCTTTCCAGGGATAGTTTTATTTGGAGGTGTGAAAAATGTTAATGATAGCAGTGCAATATCTTAGATAAGATTGTATGAATAAAGTAAGCAATTCCGTGGACAAACCCTATGTGAAATTATTCTTAATTACATACATTGTTTACAAAAATGTTATTTGAAATATATTATTCAAAATAATTCTTGGTATTAAAAAAAGACTCACCAAACGTATGTAATAAATAATAATTAAAAAATGGGCTTTCACATAGAACTATGTTCTCGTCCCGATTTCACTATTACCACAATGCAAGTGTCCTTATTCTATCTAGTCTATGTAAAAGAGACAATTTACTTAGTACGGCTCCCAACGTATATTCCGGAAAACAAACTTTCAACCGAAACCATTGCTCATTCTTTTTAGACTCTGTGCACATTACCATTTTGTGAACTTGATTTAGCTTCCAGCCACTTCTGTAATTTCTTCAACGCCTTGTCTCTGACTGGTTTACGGTTTGACGCTAATCGCTGAGCAAATTGTATCTCTGCTGAATCAAGATGTTCCTTCGGTGTGGCCATTTCTCCCATCTCCAACACGTGGATATGGAGCGCAATAGTAGTCTCCGTCATTAAGGCGCTCTAATGGGTGTGCCTAGAGTACGGACCGGAATACAGAACGGAATAGCAAGTTCACTACATAGAAAAATTTCAAACACACACACATCTTTCATTTATTTTTTTTATCTGAAATTGATCATATAGTACATTGACGTTTGGTCCACATCTCTCAAATACCGACATGGCCAGCAATTATTAATTCAGTGATTCAGCGGAGATGTAAAAGTATCTGGAGAAAAAACTACAGTCACCAAAAAAATACGATCACGTCCATGGCTGGTTACCTTCACGTGTAAGACAGAGACAGGTCATGTCACACTGGGACGTGTAACACAATCACGTCCATGGCTGGTTACCTTCACGTGTAAGACAGAGACAGGTAATGTCACACTGGGACGTGTAATACAATCACGTCCATGGCTGGTTACCTTCACGTGTAAGACAGAGACAGGTAATGTCACACTGGGACGTGTAATACAATCACGTCCATGGCTGGTTACCTTCACGTGTAAGACAGAGACAGGTAATGTCACACTGGGACGTGTAATACAATCACGTCCATGGCTGGTTACCTTCACGTGTAAGACAGAGACAGGTAATGTTACACTGGGACGTGTAATACAATCACGTCCATGGCTGGTTACCTTCACGTGTAAGACAGAGACAGGTCATGTCACACTGGGACGTGTAATACAATCACGTCCATGGCTGGTTACCTTCACGTGTAAGACAGAGACAGGTAATGTTACACTGGGACGTTATACAATAATGTCCATGACTGGTTGCCATTACGTGTAAGACAGAGACAGGTCATGTCACACTGGGACGTGTAATACAATCACGTCCATGGCCGGTTACCTTCACGTGTAAGTCAGGTCCATGATTGAGCAAATGTGACCATAGGGAGACTTTTTCACAACACATAGGTCGTTGTTATCAAAAACTTTCTGAACAAACAAAGAAACATTTAATTTAAAGATAGTTTATTTGATTAGGGTTATATATATATATATATTACATTACCAATACATAATTACAAAAGACACCAAATTATTACAATTTACAAGAACTAATCTCGACAGGATAAAGATCTGTTATTAAATCTAAATATTCATATCATGGTCGATATAAAATGTAGATATAGAAACATGTTGATAAATAACATAGGACATATCAAATAAGTATGGAGTATGTTTTTTCTCGCCGTGTATTAATAGAAACTTTACAAATAAATATATTTATAAAATAAGTTAAGACAAATTAAAACGTTCCTATAAAAGGTATACTAAGACCCTGCTTAGGTTTGATAACACATATTGACTTTTAAAATCATCAAAACACATATTAAATCAAAACATATTTGATCATAAAAATCATTATCCCTCTTTGGTGGATGGCATTTAGCATGATGTAATTTGCGCATAATTACTTTTTATGAAAATCTTAGGGCGATCCCAATTTCAGAGACAAAAAGGGGAATTGAGAAATAATTGTATCCCGAAGGAAAAGAAGGAAACATCTGCCTGACCTCGGCTTGCCACATGTGGAAATAGTGAAAGATTTACTGATCATTTGCAGACTGCATCGGGATTGGGTTGGACTTGCTGGACTTTCGAGTCACGTGACCTATAGAACCGGTCATTTCACGCTTCGGACAGTCCGACTGGGAGGTAGAGCAATTTTCCACTGGCCACTGGTGCTGTAGAAGATTGTAAATATCCGGCCGGTCAGTGTAGTCATATCTAAACATCCAAAGAATTAGGCTCTGACAATCTTCAGACACCGGTTTCTTGAATTTTTGCCACGGGAAGTTAAGGTTTCTCTGTTCCTCTAAAACTCCCCTGTTTCCTTTACTTTCGTCGAAAGGCATTTTGCCAGTAACAAGTATGTAGAGGATGACACCGATTGCCCAAATATCAGCCTTGCGCGTGTCGTACGGCTGGCCCTTAAGGATTTCTGGTGCAGCGTAGGACTTTGATCCACAGTAAGTCCGACTCAGCTCTGGGGAGGTCTCTTCTTTTACAAACCCGAAGTCACATATCTTTATATTGTTCTCCATATCTAACAAAAGGTTTTCAAGTTTGAGGTCTCGGTGGGTTATGTTCATTTCGTGAAGGTATCTTACGGCATCCGCTATTTGGCGGATCCAGTAGCCAGCACGATTTTCAGTGACCGCCCCGGTTCTCTGAATATATCTTAACACATCCCCGTTTTCAGCATATTCAAGTATCATGTATAGACGTCTGTTATCCTCAAAGATCTCAAGATTTTGCACTATGTGGGGGTGCTTCAACCGCGGCCAAATTGCTACTTCACGAGGAAGAAATCTTTGCTGGAAATCCTTTGGAGCTTTTCCTTTGTCGACAATTTTCACTGCGACTTTCTCTCGATCATGCTCGAAACATCGTGCAAACTTGACTTTCGAATAACTACCACTTCCCAGAGTCTGTCGCACCAAATAACCTTTCTTGGCAAGAACAGCGCGGTACGTTGGCCGGTAGGAGACCGTCTCAAGCTTTGAGGATGACGAAGATGAGCGGCGATGTTCAATCTGCTCAACTTCGCCCTTCATCAACTCCAACTCCGCCTGAAGACTTCTCTTTCGCGCGGGAATTGGATCATCGACGGGCATCTCCAGTTTCTGTCTCTTTATAGCTAGCATTCACGTTGGGTATTGTCGCAATTGGATATATAAAATGATGTTCTGATATTTACACAGTCGAAACCATCAGCCATTATTTTGGTAACGATGGTTGCATTGCCTATCCACAATTTCAGACTGAGGCATAAAGGGGTTCTGTTGGTGACGTCACTGTAATCATGACGTCATCATACACCTTTCCGCGGTACGATACTGATAAATCCGGTGGGAGATATTAAAACGATGTTCCTTTGCCGACGGTGATGACAACACCTTAGTCGCCGTCATCACCGTCGGGGGTAGCTAGATCACTACAAAGTTTGGTTAAAAATAAAAACGGAAATCTCAACACAAGTTTCAGATTTCACGGTCTAATAAATCTGAAATCTTGGGGATCGATGTGCAAGTGTTAATGATATCAAAGATGTAATTTAGTTTCCTAATTGAAGACTGGATATCTGAAGTCACTAAACAGATTATACGGATTTTATCTGTTTCATTATATCTTATCTTATCTTACAAAATTCTTCAGATTTTGAGAAACTACGAATGTGTTATGGCTTCACATCAGATTAAGTGTATGGTCATAATGGAGCATTTGCTCTCCCTAAAGAGATATTTTACGGTAAACATTCACATTTGCGTGAATTCTGAGATATGAAAAATTTACAAAATTAAAGAAATATCCAAGTATTTTGCGAGACAAATAAGTATGCGTAATTCTTTTGTGTACCTGAAAATCATGTTAAGAGGAGTTTGAAATTTTCTAAAATTTATGAATTAACAGATTGAATCTATAGAATTACCACAGAATCGAACATAGGTATACGAAGCCGATGTGAAATATTGTCCCCCGTTTTACATATTTACAAGTGTTGATAAAAAAAGAGATCTGATTTTTCATGTCATATCATTGTCGATGTCAAAAGAAAAAAAAATTACCTTAAGTTGGTAATAGTAACAGACTGATCGGTTTGTTCCACATAACAGGAGACGACCTTTGTTCCGTTCCAGCCATTCAGTCTTCACATGAACTCTTTCTGTATCGTAAGTCGACAAACAAATGTGCTCTCTTCCCTGTAGTCGACAAACTGATGATGTTATGTAAACGTGGACTATTGGTAAGTACGAGACTTATCATCCAATGATTAACTCATAAAAGGTTATCTTGGAATTCCAAAAACAACGGTTTTGGCTAGTGCATACGTCTGTAACAGGAACGGAAAACGGCGCGGCCAGACCTGGGATCGTCCGAACTCTAAACGAATGCTCTACCTCTTAAGCTAACTAGTTGCCGACGATCGACCTCGTCCAGTTCCGCTACAATACTCCCTTCTTCTTTTTAGTCTTCGCTTCCACAGATCATCACATCTAACAACCCAGGTTCGGGTATCCCCTTGTTAAGCATTCACCTACTGCTTGAAACAGGGTTTGTCATGGCACCAAATGTAATAGAAGGGGAAAAATGCACTGCCAGACCAGGGTTCGAACCGTTCCGAACTCTAGATGGATGTTCTACCTTCTGAGCTAACAGGTTCTCCCAAATTTGTTTCATAACGCTCAAATCATATATCCCCCAAAATACATGCCGTTAAATTATAGGCCTGTACGGTACATTTGCTGTCACATTATAGGCCTGTGAGGTATATTTGTCATCAAATTATAGGCCTGTGAGGTATATTTGTTGTCACATTATAGGCCTGTGAGGTATATTTGTCATCAAATTATAGGCCTGTGCGGTATATTTGCTGTCACATTATAGGCCTGTGAGGTATATTTGTCATCAAATTATAGGCCTGTGAGGTATATTTGTTGTCACATTATAGGCCTGTATTGTATATTTGCCACCAAATATCATCAAGTGATATCTTGTTTCATTATTCAAAGCAATTTAATAATTGCATCAAAATGAATAAAAAGTGCAACATTTCAAGTTGCAATACATGGTTCAAAGACAGTGACACAAGCTAAAAATTGCAAAGTCTTGATTTACAGCATAAAACCTGTCTAAAATCTCATAGAAAAGGGGTTAACAGTTGACACTGATAGCAAGATTTGCAAGAGATTTTATACAAAGCAGTGACAATGACTACTCCCTACATGACGAAGCTCTACCTTCAGGATATCAGCAGTGACAATGACTACTCCCGATATGACGAAGCTCTACCTTCAGGATATCAGCAGTGACAATGACTACTCCCGATATGACGAAGCTCTACCTTCAGGATATCAGCAGTGACAATGACTACTCCCTATATGACGAAGCTCCATCTTCAGGATATCAGCAGTGACAATGACTACTCCCAATGTCACGAAGCTCTACCTTCAGGATATCAGCAGTGACAATGACTACTCCCGATATGACGAAGCTCTACCTTCAGGATATCAGCAGTGACAATGACTACTCCCGATATGACGAAGCTCTACCTTCAGGATATCAGCAGTGACAATGACTACTCCCTATATGACGAAGCTCCATCTTCAGGATATCAGCAGTGACAATGACTACTCCCAATGTCACGAAGCTCTACCTTCAGGATATCAGCAGTGACAATGACTACTCCCAGGATATCAGATATGACGAAGCTCTACCTTCAGGATATCAGCAGTGACAATGACTACTCCCGATATGACGAAGCTCTCTTCAGGATATCAGCAGTGACAATGACTCTCCCTAGACTTTCATAGATATCAGCAGTGACAATGACTACTCTGACGAAGCTCTACCTTCAGGATATCAGCAGTGACAATGACTACTCCCTATATGACGAAGCTCTACCTTCAGGATATCAGCAGTGACAATGACTACTCCCTAATGTCACGAAGCTCTTCAGGAACAGCAGTGACAGGAATGCAGGGATCAGCAGTGACAATGACTACTCCCGATATGACGAAGCTCTACCTTCAGGATATCAGCAGTGACAATGACTACTCCCGATATGACGAAGCTGGTCACAGGAACAGTTAAGGGACCTGTCTGATTCAGACTGTCATGCAGGGACTGGCTGGTCACTGGAACAGTTAAGGGACCTGTCTGATTCAGACTGTAATGCAGGGACTGGCTGGTCACTGGAACAGTTAAGGGACCTGTCTGATTCAGACTCATGCAGGGACTGGCTGGTCACTGGAACAGTTAAGGGACCTGTCTGATTCAGACTGTAATGCAGGGACTGGCTGGTCACTGGAACAGTTAAGGGACCTGTCTGATTCAGATTGTAATGCAGGGGACTGGCTGGTCACTGGAACAGTTAAGGGACCTGTCTGATTCAGATTGTAATGCAGGGGACTGGCTGGTCACTGGAACAGTTAAGGGACCTGTCTGATTCAGACTGTAATGCAGGGGACTGGCTGGTCACTGGAACAGTTTAGGGACCTGTCTGATTCAGATTGTAATGCAGGGACTGGCTGGTCACTGGAACAGTTAAGGGACCTGTCTGATTCAGACTGTCATGCAGGGACTGGCTGGTCACTGGAACAGTTAAGGGACCTGTCTGATTCAGACTGTAATGCAGGGACTGGCTGGTTACTGGAACAGTTAAGGGACCTGTCTGATTCAGACTGTAATGCAGGGACTGGCTTGTCACTGGAACAGTTAAGGGACCTGTCTGATTCAGACTGTAATGCAGGGACTGGCTGGTCACTGGAAAAGTTCAGGATGATGTATGGCTTCTGATCAGAGTTACCAGATATACTCAAAATAAAAACCAATTTATCATGGAATGAAATGACTGTCTTAACAAATCTGTCCCAAACCTCACTCTCTACATTTTTTCACAAAGTTGTAGATATTTTTAACACAATAATTGTGCCTAAATCCCTTGGGGTTTCCCCAAGTCTCGTGTGAAGAGGTCCTAGTACACAACACAGCTTTCACAAAAACATTTTATGGGGGAAAAGCCAGCGTTATTTTTCATGGTACATCTATTCATATCATCAGTAAAACAAGCAACTATTTGACATTCATTTCCACTGTGTTGCCTGATGTTGTGGAGACTATTGGCCCTCACTGTAAACAGATTGATGATGTAACAAAGCCTATTATTGAGCATTTGGATGTTCTTCAGGGTTTATTGCACGACAGTGACAATATCATAGTAGACAGAGGTTTTAGGGACATTTTAGATGTCCTGGCAGGCTGATACAAACAAGTCGTCATTCTTGTCAGCTCACAAGTCACACCGGACACAAACAAACAATGACACCAAAGCCACATGGTTAGTTGAATTGTACCATTGTCATTTAAGAAGTTGTGTATTTGTCACCCAAGTTATTGACAATCTGGTTGTTATAGCATGCTTGAACTGCTTCAGAGAACCAGTATGTCAGTCCGACGTGGACCAGGAGCAGCGAGACATCAAGATGGCACCATACATGCTTATCTTTTTCGCTGTTGAATGACAACTTTACCGGTTCTCGATTTTCCTGAAATTTTCACCAAATGTTCTTGACATTAATAACATGCTTCATTCAGTTCTTTGAAAAATTGTCTTATTTCAATTGTGTAACCATGATTTCTTGGTGTGTGGGTAAAATTGCATTGGTTCTGGAAGAGATCCTTTATTGGGCTTTGAGCTGGAAACATCTTTCTACCAGATAGCAAGTTTTATTCTTGAAAAAATAACAATGAAAATAAAAAAACAATTTCTCAAAGAAGTAATCAGAGATTCAATCATTTATTGAAAAATATAACATGGTAAATGATATGATTCAGGCGTTGTGCTGCAATAGACATGTTCAGTAATCACAACATGTACCAGTTACCCTTAGTGACAGGCTTGAAATAGGAATGCATAATATTACTTAATAGTCTCAAAGGAGAACTTAAATGTTTTGTAGTCTTTCAAACCCACAACTGTTCTATAACAGGTCAGGTGCAGGTATCCATGGTAACCACACCAGAAATAAAATTTCTTGTAGTCTGTGATAAATTCTCCAGCATACAGTTACTCTACAGCTGGTCAAGTGCAGGTATCCATGGTAACCACACCAGAACTTGAAATTTCTTGTAATCTGTGATAAATTCTCCAGCATACAATTACTCTACAGCTGGTCAAGTGCAGGTATCCATGGTAACCACACCAAAAATGAAATTTCTTGTAGTCTGTGATAAATTCTCCAGCATACAGTTACTCCACCACTGGTCAAGTGCAGGTATCCATGGAAACCACACCAGAACTTGAAATATTTATGGAAGACTGTTCCACAGAAGTCAAACTTGATGGAATCACCATCTGATTTGTAGTATTGGCTTGTATTAACTTTGTCATGATGAGGTTTTGGTTGCCGAGAGAAATGCTCACGGGAATGTTACCAGATACAGTTGATACTTGGGACACGTTATTTGAGGGCGTGACAATATTAGGTAAGGTGGCAGTGCCGAGATTGGTTGACACAGCTGTAGGAGACACAGATAAGCCCTTTACCAGCTGTACAGAGTTGGTGGAGGATACATAGGATGAAGGAGGGTTTATACGTTTCTCCTTTTGTCGTCGATTACAGAACCAAACTCTCACCACCTCCTTCTCCATGTTTAGTCCATTTGCTAGCATACTGATCTCCTCTGACGAAGGTTTTGGGGTATTAAGAAAACTTTTTTCTAGAGCAACACGAATCGTTGTTTCTATACTAGTACGTTTCTTACGCCGCCTTGACACCGATTCTGGTGTGATGACCCCTCCCGGACTTCCAGGACATGGAGCAGCATTGGCTGACATGGAGTCTGCATCCTTCAACCAGGTTTGTAGGAGTGGTTTCAGTTTACACATGTTCTTAAAACTCAGGTTTAATGCTTCAAACCTGGAGATCGTTGTCTGACTGAAGTCATTACCATATAGCTTACCCATCGCTAGGCCGACATCACCCTGAGTGAACCCTACAAGAGATCAGGGTACAGTAAACAAACCACAGTGTAATTAGATCTTTAAAGGACCTCTGATACAAATCTGTATTTTAAATATACTGAAACTCAGATGTAGTGATCTTTAAAAAACAAATTACTTGAATTTGTTGATCAATATAGCTCAATAAATCTATTTAAACTTATTTTAACAACTTGAATATATAAATTTGTTGATCAACATGACTTAATAATCTATTTATACTTATTTTAACACTCAAGAAATCAATGAAAATAAACCCCTCACAAAAAAACAGTTTAACAGTAGAATGGTTTTCTCACCACACTCATTTACTGGTCAATACCCAAACACCTCCTGTAACCCTGTCAGTATGTAAACAGTAACCCTGTCAGTATGTAAACAGTAACCCTGTCAGTATTTAAACAGTAACCCTGTCAGTATTTAAACAGTAACCCTGTCAGTATGTAAACCGTAACCCTGTAAGTATGTAAACAGTAACCCTGTCAGTATCAAAACAGTAACCCTGTCAGTATCAAAACCGTAACCCTGTCAGTATCAAAACAGTAACCCTGTCAGTATCAAAACAGTAACCCAGTCAGTATCAAAACCGTAACCCTGTCAGTATCAAAACAGTAACCCTGTCAGTATCAAAACCGTAACCCTGTCAGTATCAAAACAGTAACCCTGTCAGTATCAAAACAGTAACCCAGTCAGTATCAAAACCGTAACCCAGACAGTAATAGAATGGCAACCCTGTCAGAATCAAATGATATTTGTGTCAATGTAAATGCATTGTTAATTTTTTGTGTCAATATTGAAAGTGGTTGAATGTATTTGTGTTAGGGCTTTGTATTTGTGTCAGTGTGAAAGCAGTGCTATGTATTTGTGTCAGTGTGTAAGCAGTGCTTTGTATTTGTGTCAGTATATAAGCAGGACTATGTATTTGTGTCAGTGTGAAAGCAGGGCTTTGTATTTGTGTCAGTGTGAAAGCAGTGCTATGTATTTGTGTCAGTGTGTAAGCAGTGCTTTGTATTTGTGTCAGTATGTAAGCAGGGCTTTGTATTTGTGTCAGTGTGAAAGCAGTGCTTTGTATTTGTGTCAGTGTGAAAGCAGTGCTTTGTATTTGTGTCAGTGTGAAAGCAGTGCTTTGTATTTGTGTCAGTTTGAAAGCAGTGCTTTGTATTTGTGTCAGTGTGAAAGCAGTGCTTTGTATTTGTGTCAGTATGTAAGCAGTGCTTTGTATTTGTGTCAGTGTGAAAGCAGTGCTTTGTATTTGTGTCAGTGTGAAAGCAGTGCTTTGTATTTGTGTCAGTGTGCAAGCAGTGCTTTGTATTTGTGTCAGTGTGAAAGCAGTGCTTTGTATTTGTGTCAGTGTGAAAGCAGTGCTTTGTATTTGTGTCAGTGTGAAAGCAGTGCTTTGTATTTGTGTCAGTTTGAAAGCAGTGCTTTGTATTTGTGTCAGTGTGAAAGCAGTGCTTTGTATTTGTGTCAGTGTGAAAGCAGTGCTTTGTATTTGTGTCAGTGTGAAAGCAGGGCTTTGTATTTGTGTCAGTGTGAAAGCAGTGCTTTGTATTTGTGTCAGTGTGCAAGCAGTGCTTTGTATTTGTGTCAGTGTGAAAGCAGCTTTATGTATTTGTGTCAGTATGTAAGCAGGACTATGTATTTGTGTCAGTGTGAAAGCAGTGCTTTGTATTTGTGTCAGTGTGAAAGCAGTGCTTTGTATTTGTGTCAGTGTGAAAGCAGGGCTTTGTATTTGTGTCAGTGTGAAAGCAGTGCTTTGTATTTGTGTCAGTGTGAAAGCAGTGCTTTGTATTTGTGTCGGTGTGAAAGCAGGACTATGTATTTGTGTCAGTGTGAAAGCAGGGCTTTGTATTTGTGTCAGTGTGTAAGCACCTTTATGTATTTGTGTCAGTGTGTAAGCAGTGCTTTGTATTTGTGTCGGTCTGATAGCAGGGCTTTGTATTTGTGTTGGTGTGAACCTAGTATATGGCTGAACTGGTCAAACATTAAAGCATCAATTTTACACTCACCTAGCTCAATCCGTCTTCTTTTAAAAGTTTTGGCAAATTGTTCTAATTCTTCAAGATCAATGTTTTCTTCCTATCAACAGAAAAAATTCAAAATAAAACTGCATCCCTAAACCAAGATGTCAGGACATATAACAGAGTTGAAACAGACTACCATCTCATCAGGGTTTACACAATGTTAGTCTGGAAAATTAAAAAAATACATTTTTTAGACCCAAATACTTGTGTTGAGAACAGCTGCGTTTTGTTAGATGTTTATATAATACTCTCTATATCTCTCACTGTGAGATGTCACTGGGACTCGACAATCAAGTGCTCTGGATATGCCTAAAAAATTGGTACAAAAATTGTAGGGAAGGACAGAAGACATATTCTTACAGAATATAGTAAGAATGTGAATTACCGGCTGAAGTGTGAGGGGAGATGTAGGACTGAGAGGCGGTGAGACTGAGGGGTCAGACTTGACATTGATGCTGAGGCTGACCGTCGGACTGATGTGATTACTGAGAGCTGTATTGACGGTGTTATTAGGCAATGTGTCCAGTTTTTTCAGGGTCTTAAGTGAAGTTGGTGATAAGAACTGGCCTTGTGTGTTAATCTGAAAATAAAAGTTAAAATTCATTTAACAGCATAAGAAGTTTTTATACATATGTAATACAATCAGATCCAATATAACATGTCTTTATGTAATACATTCAGACCCAATATAACATGTCTTTGTGTAATACATTCAGACCCAATATAACATGTCTTTATGTAATACATTCAGACCCAATATAACATGTCTTTATGTAATACATTCAGACCCAATATAACATGTCTTTGTGTAATACATTCAGACCCAATATAACATGTCTTTGTGTAATACATTCAGACCCAATATAACATGTCTTTGTGTAATACATTCAGACCCAATATAACATGTCTTTGTGTAATACATTCAGACCCAATATAACATGTCTTTGTGTAATACAATCAGATCCAATATAACATGTCTTTAGTAATACATTCAGACCCAATATAACATGTCTTTATGTAATACATTCAGACCCAATATAACATGTCTTTATGTAATACATTCAGACCCAATATAACATGTCTTTGTGTAATACAATCAGATCCAATATAACATGTCTTTATGTAATACATTCAGACCCAATGTAACATGTCTTTATGTAATACATTCAGACCCAATATAACATGTCTTTGTGTAATACAATCAGATCCAATATAACATATATTTTGTGTAATACAATCAGACACAATATAACATGTCTTTGTGTAATACAATCAGACACAATATAATATGTCTTGATGTAATACAATTCCTTATTGAACAATTGTTGGGATGCTAACCTGTTTTACAAGCTGTAACGACTGTCCAACCTCTGCTGTCTGGAGAACTGGTTGTTGTATCCCTGAGGTCAGCTGCTGCTGGACCTGTGGTTGAATCTGACTGATGGCTGGTTGCTGCTGCTGGGTCTGCTGTTGCTGAGGCTGCTGTGGTTGTTGTTGTTGTGCAGATTGCTGTTGTGGTTGTGGCTGTTGTTGTGTTGGTTGTGGCTGAGTCTGTTGCTGCTGTTGCTGAGCAAGCGTTGCAAGGGTTGTTGCAGTCAAACCAGGGATTAAAGGGATGCCCTGTTGGGAAAGAAAATATCAGAAAATAAACAAAAGTGAAATTACACAAACCTAATCTCACTTTACTTCTTTATGATAAGCCTAGTGATATTACATATAAACAATTGATGTTAACCAATCTTACTCTGACAAAAAGACACATGAGTTGGCTTTGTAGCACAGACTTTTCGCTGTGTTTTGATTGTCATGGGGATCCCTGTTTCATTATCTAACAACTGTATTATGAAATAATTCCTAAGTTACAACATAGTACTGTTTGAAATAGGGACATAACTCTCAATATGTTTTATGTTTGTTTGCTTGGAGGTCGGGTGGTGCAGTGGTGATGCACTCGCCTTTCACATCCAGGGTTCAATTTCTGGAACAGATGTGAAAAAGACCATGTGATTTTCCCCCCAGGTACACTGGTCTCCTTCTACAGAAAGACCCTTCGCACACTTAAATCCTGACCAACAAGAATGATTTATATAAGCTTAAAGCTTGTTTCACAATTATTGCAAAATATATTAAATGAATAAAGATTATATTGTTTACTGTTTGTTTGGTTTATTGTCTGGTAAAATGCCAGTGTTATTTCGAGGCAGGTATCTTTGAAGTAGCTGTGGTTGCCTTACTAAACAACATACTGAAAAACAAGAACAGTTACCCTAACAAGGATTGTGTCCTTTTCTGATCCAAGGTCACAACTCTGCACAGACTGATCTCTTTCCAAGCTTTTCTAGAAACACAAACCCTCAAAGGAAGGGCACATTGAACAACTCATATAACATAAACCCCCAAAGGAAGTGCGCATTGAACAACACATATAACATAAACCCCCAAAGGAAGTGCGCATTGAACAACACATATAACATAAACCCCCAAAGGAAGGGCACATTGAACAACACATATAACATAAACCCCCAAAGGAAGGGCGCATTGAACAACACATATAACATAAACCCCCAAAGGAAGGGCGCATTGAACAACACATATAACATAAACCCCCAAAGGAAGGGCGCATTGAACAACACATATAACATAAACCCCCAAAGGAAGGGCACATTGAACAACACATATAACATAAACCTCCAAAGGAAGGGCGCATTGAACAACACATATAACATAAACCCCCAAAGGAAGGGCACATTGAACAACACATATAACATAAACCTCCAAAGGAAGTGCGCATTGAACAACACATATAACATAAACCCCCAAAGGAAGGGCACATTGAACAACACATATAACATAAACCTCCAAAGGAAGTGCGCATTAAACAACACATATAACATAAACCCCCAAAGGAAGGGCACATTGAACAACACATATAACATAAACCCCCAAAGGAAGGGCACATTGAACAACACATATAACATAAACTTCCAAAGGAAGGGCACATTGAACAACACATATAACATAAACTTCCAAAGGAAGTGCGCATTGAACAACACATATAACATAAACCCCCAAAGGAAGGGCGCATTGAACAACACATATAACATAAACCTCCAAAGGAAGTGCGCATTGAACAACACATATAACATAAACCCCCAAAGGAAGGGCGCATTGAACAACACATATAACATAAATCCCCAAAGGAAGGGCACATTGAACAACACATTTAAGATTTACACGCATTGTTACATCAATCAATGAAGTTTGAGCTATCGCCCACATGAATTGAGAATAATGACAAAATAATTCTTATGGCAAAGTCCGATGGAAATCAGAAACTTAATCAAACAAAATTTTCGTCTGATAAGAGTGACCATGTAGTCATTAAAATGTCACACTGAAATCTCCTACTGGTTGTGTTATGAGAACTTCTAGTTCTAATGACAAAGTGATAAAGGCTATAAGGTATTCACCAGTTTGATCCTCTGTATTTATCTTATATCAACACTGCTACTTCAGTATCCTGTGATGTGCAGTATCATTTGACCCTGTGACCTGCAGTATCATGTGACCTGCAGTATCATGTGACCCTATGACCTGCAGTATCATGTGACCTGCAGTATCATGTGACATTGTGACCTGCAGTATCATGTGACCTGCAGTATCATGTGACCCTGTGACCTGCAGTATCATGTGACCTGCAGTATCATGTGACCCTGTGACCTGCAGTATCATGTGATGTTTGTCATGTGACTTACCTGATTCTGAATGACCAGTGGCTGCAGTCCTGCTGCCAAATGTGCCGGATTAACAAATACAATTTGCTGTGTGCCTGCGGATAACCCTTGTAAGGCCCCAGCCACACTGGCAGTGAGCATAGGTGTGGCCTGTATTTGTGGCGTTGTGGCTATGGATGTGGCCTGTATTTGTGGGGTGGTGACGATGGATGTGGCCTGGGGCTGTGTAACAACAGGGGCCTGGCTGGTCTGAATCTGCTGTAGCTGTAACTGCTGTTGCTGCAGTTGTTGCTGAAGTTGTTGAAGTTGTTGTAAGTCCTGGGTACCAAACTGCAGTCCCGGGTGGAGTGATGCGGACACAGGGATCTGTCACATCAATGTCATGATAAAAGGTTATAAGGTCTGGTTAAATTATCATTTGTATTGCTGACAGAAATGTGATCCATGACATAATGAAACATGTATGTATTATTTTACATCCAGATTGTCAAATCTTAATTCATTAAAACAAAGTTTGTTCGTATAAATGAGAATTGCCTAAATTTTTACCCATGAAAATCACCAGCTGTACACTATCCTTTTTTTAACCTAGAAAATGACATACCATAGCTGGCTGCCCAAACTGGTTCTGAATAAAGAAACCTTGAGGTGCTGTAGCCAACTGAGGGGCTGCTGCTGTGGCAAACTGTGGCAGTTGCTGTAGTAACTGGAGCTGCTGGGCAATTGTTGTGGCAGCAGTTGTTGTTGCCTAGAAACAAACATTTTACATTGGATATTTTTATCAATTTACTGGTTTAGTCAGGTCTGACGTTAACACTGTCTTAATCAAATACAAATATATTTATCAATTTACTGGTTTAGTCAGGTCTGACGTTAACACTGTCTTAATCAAATACAAATATATTTATCAATTTACTGGTTTAGTCAGGTCTGACGTTAACACTGTCTTAATCAAATACAAATATATTTAAATAGGGATTTTTACAGGAAAATACTTCAGAATTTTACTGGATAACATTGGGGTGGATGAATTGTCAGATAAATATTATGTAACTACATAGCATTTATGTAAATTAGTTTCACTGACAATATTTTCATAATAATCAACAAAAAGTTGACTTTTTATGGGAAAATTCTGAATTTAAACATTTAAACAATACAATATAATCTACATTCATTTCTATATTCATAAAAAAAAATTATACACCACTGTAAACAATAGCTCATATGGATAAATTGTCTTATGCATTATATTTAGTGATCTGACTCTAGACAAGATACTGTTTGTTTGCTGAGTAATGTATACTGCAGCATCAACAGGCAGGGTCTCCATGTGGTAGCTGGTATTTACCTCACTGAACAGCATGAGGGAGGCACACTGTGTAATATCTGGTATTTACCTCACTGAACAGCATGAGGGAGGCACACTGTGTAATATCTGGTATCTACCTCACTGAACAGCATGAGGGAGGCACACTGAGTAATATCTGGTATTTATTTCACTGAACAGCATGTTGGAGGCACAATGTGTAATATCTGGTATCTACCTCACTGAACAGCATGAGGGAGGCACACTGTGTAATGTCTGGTATCTACCTCACTGAACAGCATGATGGAGGCACAATGTGTTATATCTGATATCTACCTCATTGTACAGCATGAGGGAGACACACTGTGTAATATCTAGTACCTACATCACTGAACAGCATGAGGGAGGCACACTGTAATAGCTGGTATCTATCTCACTGTACAGAATAAGGGAGGCACACTGTGTAATATCTGGTATCTATCTCACTAAACAGCATTATGAAAAGGGAGGCATAATGTTTAAGTTATCAACATTTTATTAATGGTAAAAGCACCCTTGATTGTGTACATGGTTTCCTATACATGATTTGATATGTGATGTATTCTCCAGGTTGGTATTTGTAGAAAATAAATATGTTGATGATGTATTCAATAGCTAGGATGGATTACACAAACAGCAAGGAAAGCCCTGATAATATGACCCAGACATCAAAAGCTGTCAGTATAGTTGGTGCATTTCTAATTTATATTCATTTCCATAATAACGACCTTGTATTGTAGAAATAATATGTATTAGAGGAATTAAGTAGTCCCCAGCTGCACATTATTATATTTAAAGTTTCATCTCTGAATTTGTCTGTTGAAAGAATTTCAATATTCATACTGATGACATTAATGGAATTGAATTTGAATACATTTACATAAAGCAAAAACAGATTTACATCTAAAGTAGGATGATATGCAACACACACAACTGATTAGCATATACAGCCAAAAGGATAATAGATATAATGAATATTCATGAAAATAAGAAAATCGAGACAGTGGCCATATGTGGCTTCAATATCAATGAGAAAACAAAAATCACAAGTTCGTCTGTCTATTTTTAGGAAACATTAAGGGATTCATTTTTATCTATATTTCATGCTTCAGCAATTATACAACATATGAGTTTATAATAATCAAAGCTAACAGTACTTCTAAACCTGCTGATGACTTTCGTAAAGATTTTTGGCACATTATGTCAAACCTGGGACATCATTTGCACCCTTTTCTCTTTGGCCAAGCTTTTCTGTGAATCAGATCAAATATAAAATGTTGTTTCCTCAGGATCATTGGCCAAGCTTTTATGTGAATCAGTTTAAATATAAAATGTTGTTTCCTCAGGATCATTGGCCAAGCTTTTATGTGAATCAGTTTAAATATAAAATGTTGTTTCCTCAGGATCATTGGCCAAGCTTTTCTGTGAATCAGTTCAAATATTAAGTGCTGTTTCCTCAGGATCATTGGCTAAGCTTTTCTGTGAATCAGTTCAAATATCAAATGTTGTTTCCTCAGGATCATTGGCTAAGCTTTTCTGTGAATCAGTTCAAATATCAAATGTTGTTTCCTCAGGATCATTGGCCAAGCTTTTCTGTGAATCAGTTCAAATATAAAGTGCTGTTTCCTCAGGATCATTGGCCAAGCTTTTCTGTGAATCAGTTCAAATATCAAATGTTGTTTCCTCAGGATCATTGGCCAAGCTTTTCTGTGAATCAGTTCAAATATCAAATGTTGTTTCCTCAGGATCATTGGCCAAGCTTTTCTGTGAATCAGTTCAAATATAAAGTGCTGTTTCCTCAGGATCATTGGCCAAGCTTTTCTGTGAATCAGTTCAAATATCAAATGTTGTTTCTTCAGGATCATTGGCCAAAATCTCCTATATAATTAGTTCATATTTAAAGGAAAATTTCACTGCCGGCTGTAAATCTTTTTGGATTCATGAGGCCATGTCATGTTAAAGTCTTGTAGGTACTCGGAAAGTTATCTTAAAGCCTTGTAGGTACTCGGAAAGTTATCTTAAAGCCTTGTGGGTTAAAGGAAGTTATCTTAAAGCCCTGTGGGTTAGAGGAAGTTATCTTAAAGCCTTGTGGGTTAGAGGAAGTTATCTTAAAGCCTTGTGGGTTAAAGGAAGTTATCTTAAAGCCCTGTGGGTTAAAGGAAGTTATCTTAAAGCCCTGTGGGTTAGAGGAAGTTATCTTAAAGCCCTGTGGGTTAGAGGAAGTTATCTTAAAGCCCTGTGGGTTAGAGGAAGTTATCTTAAAGCCTTGTGGGTTAGAGGAAGTTATCTTAAAGCCCTGTGGGTTAGAGGAAGTTATCTTAAAGCCCTGTGGGTTAGAGGAAGTTATCTTAAAGCCCTGTGGGTTAGAGGAAGTTATCTTAAAGCCCTGTGGGTTAGAGGAAGTTATCTTAAAGCCTTGTGGGTTAGAGGAAGTTATCTTAAAGCCCTGTGGGTTAGAGGAAGTTATCTTAAAGCCCTGTGGGTTAAAGGAAGTTATCTTAAAGCCCTGTGGGTTAGAGGAAGTTATCTTAAAGCCTTGTGGGTTAGAGGAAGTTATCTTAAAGCCTTGTGGGTTAGAGGAAGTTATCTTAAAGCCTTGTGGGTTAGAGGAAGTTATCTTAAAGCCTTGTGGGTTAGAGGAAGTTATCTTAAAGCCTTGTGGGTTAGAGGAAGTTATCTTAAAGTCTTGAGGGTTAGAGGAAGTTTTCTTAAAGTCTTGAGGGCTTGAGGGAAGTTATTTCAAAGCATTGTGGGTTAGAGGAAGTTATCTCAAAGTCTTGTGGGTTAGAGGAAGTTATCTAAAGTCTAAAGGGTTTGAGGGAAGTTATCTTAAAGCCTTGTGGATTAGAGGAAGTTATCTAAAGTCTAAAGGGTTTGAGGGAAGTTATCTTAAAGCCTTGTGGGTAAGAGGAAGTTATCTCAAGTGTTGAGGGTTTGAGGGAAGATATCTTAAAGCCCTTTGGGTTGAAGGAAGTCATTTCAAGTCTTGAAGGTTAAAGGAAGTTATCTGAAAGTCTTGTGGGTTAGAGGAAGTTATCTTAAAGTCTTAAGGATTAAGAAGAAGTTGTCTCAAGTTCTTTAGCACTATAAGAAAGTAACTTAAAAATATGGTGAATTTGGGAAATTCACTTACCAAATACTTAAACTTACCAAATTTAGTGGCTTTGGATCACCTTCATCTACATTGGGGGCACTGTTGTTGACTACCGAGAGCTCACCGGAAGTAGTCTCTCCATTCATCCTGACCCCTAAAATACAGAACCAGTACTCAATTCAAGTCTCTCCATTCATCCTCACCCCTAAAATACGGATCCAGTACTCACTTAGAAGAAGTCTCTCTTATGTGACCCCTAGAATACAGATTTGACCCCTGAAGATGCAAAGATCTGTATACACCAAATTTGGTCAAAACTCCATGAAAAAGTTAAAATAGTTGAAAATTGATTTTGGCATTCCCTAATACCTCTACATACAAAACTGGGTAAAATTCTGACATTGTATCTAAATTTCAACCAATAAGAGGCCACAGTTAGTCTCAGCATTGTTGTCATGACAATAAATCCTAGACAGTGATGTTTGGCTTCCCCTAATGCCCCGATTTACCAAACCGGGTCAAAATTGGGCAAACTTAAATTTCAACAAATCAGAGGCCATCATTTGCCTTAGCATGGTTGTCATGGCAATAAAACATAAACAGTTATATTTGGCATCTCCTTATATCCCTATTACCATATTTTCTCAAAATCAGAAAATATCTACCAATCAGAGGTCAGGATTGTGTTTAGTGACTGTTTCTGTAACACCTAATGTATCCTACTGTAAGTTCCAATTGGCTATATATACTTATACCATTTGACCCTAGTCGAATAACAAAATATGTTGAATGACCCAGGAATAATGGCTATTTATAGTAAAACCATGCCAACCAAAATTTTGAGGCCAAAAACAGAAATACCCATACTATATGTTAAATGGTACTTTTCAACAAAAGTATGAACAAAATCTGATGCCAACTGTATGCTCTGAAAACAAATGTTTCTCAAAATACATATAGCCATATCAAATTGTGTTCTCATTTTATATAAAAAAAAAATGCATGGATAGAAGGACAGAAGAAAAGGACAGACACAAAGCAAAATTATGTAGCTGCCCCTTCCCATTGGCAAGCTTATAATAAGAAGCCTCTAAACTACCGCACCAGCATACTCAATTGGAAAAAGCCTCACTTTCCTGAATATATATCAGGGCAACAAGAGGTACAACAAGCAGCCTATCATTTAGTCAATTTAGTCAACAGGAGGGCCCACAATTAGCAGTCTGTAATTTAGCCAAGCAGTACAACATCAGGAGGGCCCACAATTAGCAGTCTGTAATTTAGCCAAGCAGTACAACATCAGGAGGGCCCACAATTAGTGGTCTGAAATTTAGCCAAGCAGTACAACAACAGGAGGGCCCACAATTAGCGGTCTGTGATTTAGCCCAGCAGTACAACATCAGGAGGTCCCACAATTAGCAGTCTGTGATTTAGCCCAGCAGTACAACATCAGGAGGGCCCACAATTAGCAGTCTGTAATTAAGTCAAGCAGTACAACATCAGGAGGGCCCACAATTAGCAGTCTGTAATTTAGCCAAGCAGTACAACATCAGGAGGGCCCACAATTAGCAGTCTGTGATTTAGCCAAGCAGTACAACATCAGGAGGGCCCACAATTAGCAGTCTGTGATTTAGCCAAGCAGTACAACATCAGGAGGGCCCACAATTAGCAGTCTGTGATTTAGCCAAGCAGTACAACATCAGGAGGGCCCACAATTAGTGGTGTGTAATTTAGCCAAGCAGTACTACATCAGGAGGGTCCACAATTAGCAGTCTGTAATTTAGCCCAGCAGTACAACATCAGGAGGGCCCACAATTAGCGGTCTGTAATTTAGCCAAGCAGTACTACATCAGGAGGGCCCACAATTAGCAGTCTGTGATTTAGTCAAGCAGTACAACATCAGGAGGGCCCACAATTAGCAGTCTGTAATTTAGCCAAGCAGTACAACATCAGGAGGGCCCACAATTAGCAGTCTGAAATTTACCCAAGCAGTACAACATCAGGAGGGCCCACAATTATAAGTCTGTGATTTAGCCCAGCAGTACAACATCAGGAGGGCCCACAATTAGCAGTCTGTGATTTAGCCAAGCAGTACAACATCAGGATTATATTAACAGGACAGTTGGAAGGCTGTTAGCCAAGTGTCATTTCTGGAGTGAAATTATGTTAAATTTTTATCCATTAGTACAACATCAGGAGGGCCTCCACATAATATTCATGAAATTATGTATTGGTTCAATGCATTTAAATATAAAACTAGCATTTTAATTTGAAATTATTAAAATATCTTTAATTTTTTCAAGCAGTACAACATAAATTGAGGGCCCTTTTACAATTTTTAATTTGAAGTCTGTGATTTAGCCAAGCAGTACAACATCAGGAGGGCCCACAATTATCAGTCTGTGATTTAGCCAAGCAGTACATACATGTATTATATTAACAGGACAGTTGGAAGGCTGTTGTCTAATTTGTGTCATTTCTGGAGTGAAATTATGTTAATTATCTTTTATCCATTATGTCACAACCAGTAATCCTCCTACATAATATTCATGAAATTATGTATTGGTTCAATGCATTTAAATATAAAACTAGCATTTTAATTTGAAATTATTAAAATATCTTTAACCTTTTCAAGCTGCAAATAAATTGAAGGTTCTTTTAAATTTTTAATTTGAATTGACTTATTCCAGCTTGAGATTCTCCATAAATTTATACATAAAATCATTTTTATGGAACTTTTCCCAAAATATGTAATTTAGATATAAACTGATATTTATTTATAGAATAATAACTTACCTCTATGTTAAATATGTTATATACTAACAAAATCATTATTCCAGCTTGTGTATCTAAATATTTACACTGACAAAATCATTATTCCAGCTTGTGTATCTAAATATTTATACTGATAAAATCATTATTCCAGCTTGTGTATCTAAATATTTATACTGCTGAAATCATTATTCCAGCTTGTGTATCTAAATATTTATACTGATGAAATCATTATTCCAGCTTGTGTATCTAAATATTTATACTGATGAAATCATTATTCCAGCTTGTGTATCTAAATATTTATACTGCTGAAATCATTATTCCAGCTTGTGTATCTAAATATTTATACTGCTGAAATCATTATTCCAGCTTGTGTATCTAAATATTTATACTGATAAAATCATTATTCCAGCTTGTGTATCTAAATATTTATACTGATAAAATCATTATTCCAGCTTGTGTATCTAAATATTTATACTGCTGAAATCATTATTCCAGCTTGTGTATCTAAATATTTATACTGCTGAAATCATTATTCCAGCTTGTGTATCTAAATATTTATACTGCTGAAATCATTATTCAAGCTTGTGTATCTAAATATTTATATATTATAGATTATCATAACTAACCTAGCTATATTTTGTTAACCAATATCATTCAACACTTTTTCCACAATAAGTATGTTGCAGATGACCTTGACCTCAGTTAATGAGAAATCATCCCAACCAATCATTTCCTGAATCTTCGTTAGACAGATTAATTGTAACAAATTCTTAATTATCGTTTCAAAATTGAGCATCAAAATATTGTCAGAATAAATATCTGCAAAATACTCCAATGGCCAAGGCAAGCAGGATCTCTGACAACTCCACCATCAGATTTATTTTATTGTTATAACTAACCTATATGTTACTTTAGGGTTTTTTATATATATACCAACAGAATTATATCAAACCAATATTCTATGTATTACATATATAGATATACCGACATACCAACTAATATATAATACATTGAAAATATATACAACAGTATACAAACAGAAATGTAAGTAATTTATATCTTAGGTTTTTTGTTCTTACATCAACTAGAATCTATAACTACCGTCGTTTATACATTTTGTTTTTAATGCGATTGAAAATGAGAAAACTCAAATTCCTATTTCTTACTGATATCGACAAGCTTACAGTCAGTCTAGGGGACTTTAACAGGTGTGATCAAGTTTTTTTTTTAAATTTTAATGCTAATCATGTCTAGAGTTTTAAAAGTGTTTGTGATGTTTTCTGTGTTGTATAATTATCATTGATAAAAAGTCACATGATGTCCAAAATCTAGAAATATTTTCCTCCAAATCTTGGATGTAAAATTAACCCTACAGATCACATCGGCATATAAAGGCCATGATTACTGACTTATTAGATACATGGACACTAATATTGATAACCAAATCATCAGCATGGATGTCATTATTTCTGTATAGAAAATCTAAAAGATTTAAACATGTGATTGACTCTCTTCGAAAATCAAAGCGAAAATAAATTACACACACACAAATCATTGGTGATTTAGAGTACTTCAGTGACTCTGCTAGGATTCAAACCTAAGACCTCTGGTTTACTAGTCTGACACTCAAATGATCAAGCTAAAAAAATCTCTCTGGCCAAGCTGTATATTTGAGCTCGTATTTAGGTAACATCTGTGATTATATCAATTGGTCCAGAGCTATAATGGTAAAATCTTTGTCCATACCAATATTTAATAATTTTACATATTAATAATTTTCAGCATCAACATCTTTTACAATTTGTAAATAAGACATGTGTTAGATGATGTGATAATACTTCATGTGGAATTAAATGTCATACATCAAATAATAATTTCTTTTGATCCCAAATATCCTCCAAAAGACAATAATTATGAGGTATTTCATTTAAATACACCTTTGTATTAATGAATCAAGAAGGATTCATAAGATTTGTCAAAAGTTAAGATTTATAAAAACTGATGTAAAACTTTCACACAGAAAATGTAACAAATCTGAAAATAAAGTTAGTAGTTAAAAACTTCAATCATATCAGATACCATCATAGTAAAAAATAAAACATATTACCACAAAGTTTTCTTCTCATGTTGCCGTCCAGAATATACAGATAAAACTGACTGTATATTTACTCTTTCTATATAAATATGTATAAACCATCCACGTTATGCAAATGAGGTCTCTTGTCAAAGTTCAGCTGTACTATTGTGTGAAGGCTGACCTCCTTTCTTAATATGCAAGTGTACTTTTAAGAAAGTGTCACAATCTCATGGTTGACTGTACACTATAGTGATAAACCCACAGAATGCCAGGGGCTAATTTTGTATGCGAGGGGCAATAAA